GAAATGCATACACCTGTTTTGTTTTTTTTCTTTCTTGAGACAGGGTCTTGCTCTGTTGCCCAGGCTGGAGTGCAGTGGTGTAATCCTGGCTCACTGCAACCTCTGCCTCCTGGGTTCAAGTGTTTCTCCTGCCTCAGCCTCCCGAGTAGCAGGGACTACAGGTGTGTGCCATATCACCTGGCTAATTTTTGCACTTTTAGCAGAGACAGGGTTTCGTCATCTTGGCCAACTCCTGACCTCAAGTGATCTGCCCGCCACGGCCTCCCAAAGTGCTGAGATTACAGGCATGAGCCACTTCGCCTGGTCCTGCTATTGAGTCTTAAGTGTTTGTACACTCCCAGGCTTGTCAGCTCCACTGAAATCAAATAAAAATAAGCATGGCATTATACAGAGAAATATGAACTCATCAGCATACCCCTCCCCCTGCAACTTTAACTCAGGACAGAAACTTGAAAAGATCAGATTCAACTTTAGCCAGGCTGCGTTCACCCAGCCCCGCTGACTGCAGCCTGGGGGAATGCGATGCCTGGGCCTCCTGGTGGCTGTCCCTCGGCGCTGTGTTTATGAAACCAAAGCCACCTTTGGTCTTGCCAGCTTTTCCTTCTCCTGTTCCAGAAGCTCTCAGCTTCCCCAGTGCATGCTTTATTATTATTTGCATTCTGATTCCACTTCAATAGTCCCGTGCTCTTTGGATAAAGCATTTTTTACTTTTTAGTTTAAATTACTCGCTAAGGTGTTGGAAAGAGCCTGCCCCTTCTCAATCCCTACCATCTAGGTGCTAAGTGAAAAATAAAAATGATTTGGATTTTGAGGACAGAGAAGACATCCTTTTTTTTGGAGATGGAGTCTCACGCTTGTTGCCCAGGTTAGAGTTCAGTGACACAGTCTTGGCTCACTGCAACCTCCGCCTCTTGGTTGCAAACAATTCTCGTGCCTCAGCCTCTGGAGTAGCTGAGATACAGGTGTGCACCACCATGCCGGTTAATTTTTCTTTTTTTAGTTTTAATTTTTATATTTTTAGTAGATGGGGTTTCACTATGTTGGCCAGGCTGGTCTCCAGCTCCTGACCTCAAGGGATCCGTCTCCCTTGGCCTCCCAAAGTGCTGGGATTATAGGCGTGAGCCATCGTGCCCAGCCAAGAAATGCCTTTTCATAGTTGTGGTGAGAACACATCTTCTTAAACACTGAGTTATTGTTTCACTGTAAACTCAAATGTCCTGACCTCCCTCTCCTGCCGGCTGGCCATTTGTAGAAAACCCCTAGGGGAAAGAGGAAGCTTTGCATCTCCCAATCAGTGTAATTGGTTAGTCCCCTTGGAAATCCCAGGGGCTCAGGACACAGTTGTCACTGCAGTTGTCCTTGTTTCCAGGGTTAACTATCAAAGCAGGAGGAAAAGCAGTTTAAAGTGACCTGGATATTCAGTTTTGTGTTCCTGCTATTTATGTGACCAATTTCCTACCTGGAGTTTGTTCAGAAGAGTGAAAAATATTTCAGGTGCTCTCCCTTCTAAACCGTGCAAACCACACTCCAGTAAGACAGCACAGAAGACTGAGGAAGAAAAACGTTAATGAAACATTGTGCTCGGGTCTACCTCATGATACGTAATTGTACGGGGTGTTCTTTTTTCCCTGAATTGACTGGTCCCTGGTGAGCCACTCTGGCTTTCACTATCATTCCTCTCTTCTCCTTTCTCAGGACTCTGGCCATTGTCCAGAGAGAATTACACTTTCTCTGCTAGAAGCTCACATCTTTCTTCTGTCAGGCCATTTCCACGTGGGCCTCTTCCACGCTGCCTTCCTGAGGTCGGGTACTTGCTCGGGGCTCTGTTTCCTCTCTTCCTCCCTAGAGTTGTAATCCGGCTTTCCCCCATCTTTCTGTTGTTTCCACTTCACCAGTGATTTCCTCCTTGTTGTCCAGAAGTAGGTCAGGATAAGAAATTCTCCTTTTTTACTTCTTTAGGCTTCTTGTTAACAAAGCAAAACAAGCTTAAACACCTTGTTCAATGATCAGCTTTTTTTTTTTTTGAGTCTGGGCCTTGCTCTGTTTCCCAGGCTGGAGTGCAGTGGCGCCAGTGTTTCCCCTACCTTGAGCTCCGAGTAGCTGGGACCACAGGTGAGTGCCATCACACCCAGCTAATTAAAAAAAAATCTGTAGCGACAAGGTCTTGCCATGTTGCCCAGGCTGAATTCAAACTCCTGGGCTCAAGTAATCCACCCTCCTTGGCCTCTCAGAGTGCTGGGATTACAGATGTCAGCCCTCACACCCGCCCAAAGCTCAACTTTTAACTGCTTGAAATTTTTGATAGGTCAGAGAGATGAATTCTGTCATTCACTATACACAGAACTACCTTGGCGTAGGAGTTCAGGGCACAGAACATTGGTGTCACACAAATGTGGGCCAAAAGCTGCAATTATGCAGTGGTGTTTTGCAGATTTTTTTTTTTAGAGATGGGATCTCACTAGATTGCCCAGGCTGGTCTCAAACTCCTGGCCTCAAGTGATCCATCTGCCTCAGCCTCCCAAAGTGTTGGGATTATAGGCATGTTTTGAGTCTTGGGGACCAACTGGGATTCCCCTCTCCCCTTTATCTTCTGTATCCAATCCAGCCCCTGCCATTTCTTTTTTTTCTGGTGCCTCTCGGGTTTGCCCTTTTCCCTCCTTGCCTCTCTGACTCTGCTTGTCACACTCCGAAACCTCAAATCTGAACTTTTACTTCTCCTATCACAGAAACTTCCCACGCTCTAGCTGCTTATTGCCCCTCTACCTTCACCACCAAACTGTAAATTCTGTGAGAACAGAAACCCAATTTTTTGTTTTTGCTGTTTTGGCCTCAATTTCCATCACAGTCAGGTTCTAACATTGACAGTTGAATGAAAGAGTTAGTTATTGCGTTGCTACAGCTGCCTTTAAACTTCCAGTAAACTTTTGCTGCCATCAGCGGGTAAACGTAAAACACTGTTCCAGGCCAAGTCACCGTGACTCATGCCTGTTATCCCAGCACTTCGGGAGGCCGAGTGGGAGGATGGCTTGAGGCCAGGAATTTGAGACCAGCTTGGGCAACGTAATGAGACCCCATCTCTACAGAAAAATTACATAGAATAAAATGAAAGTAAGGCTGGCGCAGTGGCTCATGCTGTAATCCTAGCACTTTGGGAGGCCAAGGCAAGAGGATCACATGAGGTCAGGAGTTCAAGACAAGCCTGGCCAACATGACGAAACCCCGTCTCTACGAAAAATACAAACATTTAGCCGAATGTGGTGGCGTGCGCCTGTAATCCCAGCTACTTGGGAGGCTGAGGCAGGGGAGTTGCTTGAACCTGGGAGGCAGAGGTTGCAGTGAGCCAAGATCGCGCCACTGCACTCCAGCCTGGGCAACCGAGTGAGACCTCGTATCAATCAATCAATCAATAAAATAAAATAAGTAAAAAAAATACTGTTCATGATATTCTGCTCCTGGGAGGGACTTGCCGTTCCTCCCCACTGCGGCCCTGTGACTGCCCATCTGGCCCCTTCAGTCACTGCTTTGTCTCCTCCTTGGATGCCTTTTCTTTTGCTCTCTCATGAAAACCAACTCATCTGTGAGGATGCAGATCGAGCTCTGCCTCCTCTCTGAAGCCCCCGAACCTCTCCCCCGGACACAGACCTCTGCCTTCTTTGATCGTATGCTAGTCTTCAGTTTAATGCTTTAACTGTTCCACTTGCATGGGTCCTGCCCACCCACCGGGTTTACGGTGTCTCTGAGGACAGGAGCTGTCCTCCTTAGGCCTTCGGCATCCTCCACACTCCTCGTCTAAAGTGGCATCCGCTCTGGCTCGCCTTCCTAACCTGCCAGGTGTGGTCTTTCTGTTTTTAAACTTTAAGTAGGCTACGTGGAGGTCGAATTAGATATCTTCTGACAAGCCTTAGATTTCTTTTTCTGTTTTAAGGGAAATTTTTTCTTTTTCTCCAATTTCGTTACTGTGAGTGCATGAAGGCACATTCAACAGCTCCTTGCTCCCTGCCTCTCCTGCACCACCCAACATCTTACTGCGGTATTTGGCAACCCACAGGTCTGCTGGTCATGGTGGACAGTCCCCAAGATCAGGTTATCTGTGTCAAAATATTGAGTGGTTGATGAGTGCTCCGGGCAGGCCCTAGAGCCTGCTGAGAGCACTCAGGTTTCTGCACAAGCACAGCGAATTTGAGCCCTCATCACGGTTCATTGCCATGTAGGTCAAGGATTGGTGACAGGTCCTGTCTTGGACCATCATTTCAGGAAGCAGGACAGCTACAGCAGCAGTCCCCAATGTTTTTGGCACCAGGGATTGATTTCGTGGAAGACAATTTTTCCATAGATTGGGGGTAGGGCTATGGTTTCGGGATGAAACTGTTTCACCTCAGATCATTGGGCATTAGATTCTCATAAGGGGCACACGACCTAGATCCCTGGCATGTGCAATTCACAATAGAGTTTGCACTCCTGTGAGCATCTAATGCCTCTGCTGATCTGACAGGAGGCGGTAAAGCTCGCTTGCGTGCTGCTCACTTCCTTCTTTGTAGCGCCATTCCTAGCAGGCCATGGACAGGTACCAGCCTGTGGCCCAGGGGTTGGGGACTTCTGAACTACAGGCTCCTCCACCTGCACAAGTTTTGAGAAGTAAGTCTATCCAGAACAAGAAGGGCAGGAACTTTCTTGTCTCGCTGAGGATCTTCCACCAATCCCAACTCTCAATGTGTGTATGACTCGTATGGCAATCATCTTAAAATGCAGATTCTGAGTCAGTGATCTGAAATTTTGTATTTGCAACAAGCTCCCAGATGATACCAATGGTGATGCTGATGCTGCCTCTCTGTGGACCACACTTTGAGTAGACGGGTCTAGAATATGGACATCTCCCTTTCCAGTGAACTTTAGCAAGTGGGGAGCATTTCAAGAAAGCCTCCTCCCATGCACACTGTCATTGGTGGCAGCATTTCTTGTAGCAATCGGGCTAAATCTGTCTTTAATTCTTTCCCAAACAGCATATCCAAGTTTTGCAACCATAAGCACCAGCCAGGAGAATATATATTCCATGCAGAAAATGATGATGCCCAATTTACCAAAATGTTCACACTGAATATAAGAAGTAAGTTAAATGGTCAAGAATTTAATTTTTATCTTTTAATTCCTTAACTCTGTGTTAGTCTTAACTAGGAGGAGCTAAGTAATGGCTTAGAAGGGATAGTACAATACTGTTTTTGTGCTGGGCGCAGTGGCTCATGCCTGTAATCTCAACACTTTGGGAGGCCGAGGTGGGCAGGTCACCTGAGGTCAGGAGTTCAAGACCAGCCTGGCTAATATGGTGAAACCCTGTCCTTTAAAAAATAAAACAATAAAACAAAACAAAACTGTTTTTATATGCTGAAGTGTTTTCAAATTTTACTCTCATATCTACTGGCATTGGTCATATATCTCTTTATTTTTTATCTTATTTGTTTTTTTTCTTTTTTTTTTTTTTTTTTTT